AAAAAAAAAAAGAAGGGATTCTGAAATTTACTCTTCTATGTAAGGACAATGAAAGAAATCATGAAGGAAAACAGTTGAAAGGAAGATTTCAAAGAGTGGCTTAAGAAGACAAAGCATAGGTAATGTGCAGAGGCCTGGATATTGAAAATCAATAGGGAAGAACACATTTGGCAATTCTCAAATTTAAAGAACTGAAGAAAACAGTTAAAGCCACGAGTTGCTATATTGAAGGATTTGGGGTTATATGAAGAAAAATGTGGCATCAGGATTGGAGGAAGATTCATTAACAAGCAGCGATATGCAGATGATACCACCTTGCTCTCTGGAAGTGAAGAAAACTTAAAATATTTACTAATGAAGACCAAACAGCACAACCTTCAGTATGGATTGCATCTCAACGTAAAGAAAACAAAAATCCTCACCACTGGACCAATAAACAACATTCTTATCAACGGAGAAAAGGTTGAAGTTGTCAAGGACTTCATTCTTTTTGCATCGACTATCAACACTCATGTAAGCAGCAGTCAAGAAATCAAATGACATATTGCATTAGGCAAATCTGCTGCACAAGACCTTTTTACAGTGTTGAAGAGCAAAGATGTCAGCTTGAGGACTAAGGTGCGCCTGACCCAAGCCATGGTATTTTCAATAATCTCATATGCATGTGAAAGCTGGACAGTGAATAAGGAAGACCGTAGAAGAATTGATGCATTTGAGTTAAGGTGTTGGAGGAGAATATTGAAAGTGCCATGGGCTGTCAAAAGAACCAACAGATCAGTTTTGGAAGAAGTGAAACCAGAGTGCTCCTTGGAGGCCAAGAAGGCCAAACTTCATCTCTCATACTTTGGAAATATTATCAGGAGGGAATAGTCGCTGGAGAAGGAGCTCATGTTTGGTAAGGTGGGGGGGTCAGAGAAAAAGAGGAAGAGCCCCAGTGAGATGGATTGGCCAAGTGGCAGCATCAATGGCCACAAGCATGGCAACAATTGTGAGGTTGGCCCTAGATTGGGCAGTGTTTCATTCTTCTTTGTATAAGGTCGCTATGAGTCAGTACTGACTCGATGGCACATGGGCAAATATTGAATGATGATTGTTGTTGTTGCTGTTAGGTACCATCAAGTTGGCACTGATTCATAGAGAACCTATGCACAACAGAACACAACACTGCCTCTTCCTGGGCCAAGCTTACAATCATCAGATAGTGTTGCGATTACAAATAGGGCTGCGAACTTTAAGGTCAGCAGTTTGAAATTATCAGCTGTTCCATGGGAGAAAGATGAAGCTTTCTGCTCCCGTAAAGATTTACAGCCTCAGAAACTCTGTACAGGGTCGCTATGAGTCAGTTCTGACTCCACGGAACATAACCACCACCACCACCAATACCATAATTCAAATGCATCAATTATTCTATAGTCGTCCTTATTCACTGTCTCACTTTCACATACAGATGAAGTTATTGAAGATACTCTGGTTTTGGTCAGGCACACCTTAGTCCTCAAACTGCCATCTTTGCTCTTCAACACTTTAAAGAGATCTTGTACAGCAGATTTGCCTACTATAGTTCAATGTTTTATTTCTTGACAGCTGCTTTCATGAAGCTGAAGGTTGATCTGTGAAAATGAAGTCTTTGGCAACTTCACCTTTTTTTATATGGATGTTATTTATTGGTCCAGTCAGTGGTGAGGATTTTTGTTTTCTTTAAATTGAGGTGCAAGCCATACCGAAGGCTGTGGTCTTTGATCTTCATCAATAAGAATTTTAAGTCCTCTTCCCATTCAGCAAGCAAGGTTGTATCATCTTCATATCTCAGGCTGTTAATGAGTCTTCCTCCAATCCTGATGCCACATTTGTTTTCATACAATGCAGCTTCTCTGATTAACTGTTTAGCATTTAAATTGAGTAAATATTGTGAAAGAATACAATCCTGGTAAACACCTTTCCTAATTTTAAACCATTTGGTGTTCACTTGTTTGATTTGAACAATGCCTCTGGTCTATTTATAGGTTCCTCATGATTACAATTAACTGTTCTGGAATATTCGTTCTCCACAATATTGTTCATAGATTGTCATGTTCCACACAGTCAAAAGCTTTTGAATAGTCAATAAAGCACTGATAAACATCTGTCTATTATTCTCTGTTTTCAGTCAAGATCCATTTGACATCCCTTGTTCCATGTCCTCTACTGAATCTGGCTTGAACCTCTCACAGTTCTTTGCCAATGTACAGTTGCAGTCGTTTTTAAATTAACTGAATGATACAGGAAACATCAAAAGAATGTGGAAGGAATACACAGGGTCACTGTACAAAAAACAAATTGGTCAATGTTCAACAACTTTAGGTGGTATTTATGATCAAGAACCAATGATATGAAGAAAAAAATAAATAAATGTTGCTCTAAAAGCATTTGTAGAAACAAAATTCCAGCAACAGGATAGAATATCAGTTGAAACATTTCAATAAATCAATACAGTAATTGAAGTACTCATTTGTTTATGAAAAAAGGAAGACAATTATCTGTCCATAAACTGGAAGAGATCCATATTTGTTTGCAAAGAAAAATGATCCAACAGAATGAGGAAATTATCAAACAATATCATTGCTGTCACATGCAAATACCTGGAAAAGAACATTTGTTGTTGTTAAGAGCTGTTGAGTTGATTCTGACTCATAATGACCCTGTAGAGAGTTTCCAAGGAGCATCTTGTGGGTTTGAAAGGCAGACCTTGCAGTTAGTAGTCCAGTGCTTACCTTTTAGTGCTTGATAAAGTAAAGAGCCAGAGAATATAAGACTCTCAATTTGGTGGATTGACACAGTAGCTTTAACAATAGTCTCAAGCATTCCTACTATTGTGAGGACAGTACAGAGGGGCAGTGTTTCATTCTGGTATATATGGAGATGCCATGAATTAAAATTGACTTGATTACACCTAATAACAACAATTGAGTACTTTGGGATCTTTTTAGGACATTTTCTCTTCCCCCAAATAAATACAAACTCTTTTAAAATGATAGTTTTCTTCTCTATGCAGAATTCTTGTGTGTGAATGTGTTGATGAGAATGATAGGTGTCTTTCAGTGTGTGGACAGGTTGTCCTCCTCAGTCTATCTCTCTACTAACTATGCAGGGTTTGGGTAGCATCCCATGGTGGGTGAAATGAGAAGTGTGATTGGCAGAATAATGGTACCACATAAGACATCCAAGTCCAATTCCCAGAACCTGTGTATATTGCCATTTCACAGAAGTGATTAAGAATTTTGAGAAGGGGAGATTATCCTAGATTATCCAAATGGACCCAATGCAATCAGGATCCTTATAAGTGAAAAGGAAGGAAGGTTATTGGCTTTGAAAAAACAGACCCACCCTTTGAGTTTTCAGAAGGACGGAGTTCTGCTAAGACTTAGGGCTGTATAATAATAATTGTTTACTGCTTACAGCCATTAATTTTGTGATCAATTGTTAAAGTAGCCACAAAAGTCTCATACAGAATGTCATGCTATAGCTCTGGAATGTCTCACTGACCAGTGACTCTCGCTGGAAACACCTCACACTTGATCTCAAGCAGAATGACCTCTAGTGTTGCTCTTAGGGTAAGGGACCTGTTTTCACATACCCCTACCATATCAGTCCATCCTACCCACCCTACCCAAGACATCCCCATCAAGTTACAAATAGGCTTTCTTCTTCTCAGCCTGCTGCATTCATGATGAGAGCCTAAATGATGCATTGTTCATTTTATTAAGGGAAGTTGAACAGACAGCATGCCAGGTAGTGTTCTAAAGGCTGTGCTGCCAGACCCACTTAGTCCTCTACTCCACATGCTACAGCAAGTTGTGGCCACCCCTACTCACAGACAAGGAAACTAAGGCACAAACATGGAAATGCAGAGCAGCAGGTGGCAACAGCAAAGCTTGATTCAGACTTTTCCTCTTCTCAGTGTTAATGTTCAAGTCATTGAGTCAATGGAGTGTTTTCATCATCTGTTTCACCCCACACCAGGATCTTCTTGTGTTTAGGATGTTTAGAGTTTTAAGTTTCCAGGTACAAAATCACATTTTAGTATTAATAGATAATGCAAATGGAAGGTGTTGAGTATTCAGATCTATTTTAATTAAAAAATACAGCCCAGAATGATACACATAGTGAACCCAGATGAGCAACTTTATATCCTAAGGCAGTTTGCTGGGAGTTGTTTCTGACAAGGCAACAAATCTTGTAAAAGATGTATCGTGTCTTCCCACAACCTCCAACCCAGTTCCTTTTTGTAACTTTTATAATAGATAGTACTCCATTGACTGAGCAGTTCCAGTTTTTTTTTTTTTTCAATAAAAAAAAAGTTTATTGAACTTAAACTGATAAATTCTTAATTGCCATTGTTTCTAGATTCTTCAATATGCTAGTGGTTGTGGTTGTGTACTGTCGAGTTGGTTCTGACTCACAGCAGCCCTGTGTAGGGTTTCCAGAGCAATAAATATTTATAGGAGCAGAAAGCCTCATCTTTATTCTGCACAGCATCTGGTGGACTTGAACAGCTAAACTTGTGGTTAGCAATATAAATCAATCTATTTTAAACTTTGTTTTTAAATTCAATCTCAACACTGAGACTTGGGAAAGCAGTACCTCTGGTCTCACCTAGTCCACACATGGAGCTCCAACTGTCCATACTAAAGGCAAGGTGGACAGGGATACTATCCATATTGCATTGGGCTATGGGGCAAGAAGGGTCCTGCAGTCACCTGGGGTGCAGGCCTTGATAGTTCAATGTGTGTCTATTCTACATCGTGACCGAGGGATGACACAGAGTTTGTAATATGGTGGGATACTACCAAACCCAACTGTAGTGGGGGTGAGATCGATGTCCTTTGGGTCAACAAGAGACTTCAAGTTAAAATGCTGTAAAATGGCAGACAAAAAGAGGAATAGTTCCATTCGAGCCAGGCCTTCTCCAACACACACTCGTTTTCCTGGAAGCGACAAGAATGCTGATGAGACACTGAGGGCACCCTACAGAGTTAACACTTTCAAAAGCCAGACAGCAGAGGGAGTTGGAGGGCAGAATAAAGCAGAACTAAACCTTTCTGCCCATTAAAAGGAAGCAGATGATGTATTTATACACATTCTGAATAAGGAAACCAGTAATGTTAACTTTTCAGGGGTAGCCTTCATATAACTACAACTATCCTGAATACAATGGGAAATATTCACGTCCATTAAGCAAAATGGTCTCTGCCAGTTAAGGGAAATGTTTCCCAATGTTCACTCATGATGTTCTCCAGGAATGAAGTGGGCTTTTTAACCCTTGGGTTAAAATTTAATTTCTAATATTGGGTGTCAAATTAAAGCTATCAATTTGGCTTCATGATCTTCCCTTGCACCTGAGGTAGGGTCTTGTGAAGGAAACCAAGTGAGAAACCACTGAATCTCATCCCAGGGAAAATTTTGATGCTTCCTATGATGAGTCCAGATAATCAAAGTTTATATTGTGTTTAGTAATTCTTGCTTAAAATTATGCACAATTATGTAATGTAATTTTGAAAGACTTCCATTAAATTCTGTTAAGGTAAAAATGGAGCTTTAGTACTGAATTAGGTAAAGTGTTTACTCTATGGAGAAAATAATTCATAGCTTCATTCTCTGAACTTCTGGGTGACAAGGTGTCATTTAGCCTCTCTGAATAGGTATCAGCACACTGAGATCATGTTGCAAATCAAAACAAGAACCATGATGGAGCTAAGAGGTTAACTCATGTTTGGGATGATAAAAGAGTCAACGTTATGTAGAAATGAAGAAAGTGGTAGATAATTACCTTGAGGGAAGGCGCAACATCTGAACTCTTCTTACCTGCAGAAAATGCTTTGAAGTAGTCACTGTACTTGAATTTTCCATTTTCATTCAGAAAGTGCTCTGGTTTAAATGTCTCTGGATCAGGGAATTCTTGGTCATCATACAAAAGGGAGTCCAGAGTTGGAATTACTATGGTGCCCTAGAAGAATGAAGATCATTTTAGCCAAGTTGGCGCATGTAGGCTTTCCTCTGGAAGCTCCCTGTGAGAAAGATTGCTTTCAATTCTTGGTTACTGCACAGGTATATTTATAATTTTTTGTCTAAGGGTTAGATAGAAAGATAAAGTTGTTGTATGAAACAGTAGTAAGGAGTTAGATCTAAATGGTAAGAGAGGTCCTAATTTTCTTAAAGGATTTGATCCAGAGTTGTCCCCCTACCGTCCCTGGTATAGAATATGAAGCAAATCCCGAACATTATCTGCGGAGTTACTGTTCCAGATTTCTTCATTTGTGTGGTAACCAGGTCCATAGAGGGTCAGGAGAGAGTAGCTAAAGAAGCAGATTTCTGACCCTTTGCAGCCTAGTTAAAGGGTGATAGGTGCTTATGGTGTGATCTGTAGGCTGCATATCCAACCTTGGGGATGACATATCCTCTGAACATTGTGTCCCGAGTTGTTTCATGGGGTAGATTGGAGGGCACAAGGTTGATGAATCGCTGAATTTCATGCACCACAGCATCCATGTAAGGCATCTCTAACCTGTCCTTGACAGCAGGAATTCGACTTGGCCCAATCACCCTGTCAATTTCCTCATGAAGTTTCTCTGTCAATATATTAATGGAATACATTTAACAGACTTGTCCAGGCTGGCTGGCAACTTATCCACTCGTTCATCTATACATCTTCCCACCCAACAAACAATCCATTGATTCATCTATCCATCTGTCTAATAATCCACTCATCCAATCGCACCTTCACCCATTCATCCACCCACCCACCCATCCATCCACCACCCAACCACCTACCCCCGATTCATCTACCCAGTTATCCATCCATTTAATCATCCACCAAGAGGCAGTCATTCAAACAGAACAAGGGGACACTGAATGATTACAATCAGGATAGGTGTTTGCCAGAGTTGTATTCTTTCACCATATATATGCAGTCTGTATGTTGAGCAAATACTCTGAGAGGCTGGATTATATGAAGAAGCACATGAGATCAGGATAGGAGGAAGACACATTAACAACTTGCAATATGCAGAAGATACATCCTTGCTTGCTGAAAATGAAAAGGGCTTAAACTACTTGCTGATGAAGGTCAAAGACCACAGCCTTTAGTATGGTTGTGTTGTTGTTGTTGTTGAGTGCCATCGAGTCGGGTCCGACCCTTAGCGACCCTGTACAGGGTTTCCGAGGGTGTAAATCTTTACCTGAATGTAAATAAAGCAAAACTCCTCACCACTGGATCAAAAAACAACATGCATATAAATGGAGAAAAGACTGAAGTTGACAAAGACTTCATTTTTCCTGGATCAACCATCAACACTCATGGAAGCAGCAGTCAAAAAATTAAATGATTCCTTAGACAAATATGCTGCTCAAGACCTCTTTAAAATGTTCAAGAGGAAAGATATGACTGACCCAAGCCATGGTATTTTTCATAGCCTAACAGGGTCGCTATGGGTCGGAACCAACTTGACGGCACTTAACAACAACAACAACAGATATGTATGTGAAAATTAGAAAATGAGTAAGGAAGACTGGAAGAATTGATGAATTTGTCTTATGGTGTTGGAGGAGAATCTAAAAGTACTATGGACTGCCAGAAGAACAAACACATTGGTGTTGAAAGAAATATAGCTCTGATTCCTTAGAAACCAGGATGGCCAGACTTTGTCTCTCATACTTTATATTTATTATCAGGAGGGACCAGTCCCTGAAGAAGGCCATCATACTTGGTAAAGTGGAGGGTCAGGGAAAAGAATCAGATCACCAACAAGATGGATTGGTACAGTGGCAGCAGCAATAGGCGCAATGATTGTGAGACTGATGCAAAACTGGGCAGTGTTTCATTGTGTATAAGTTCATTATGAGTTGGTACTGACTCAACTATAATTATCCATGCAACAGAAGTTAATGGGACACCTAATTAGTGTTTCCTGGTGTTCCAGACACTTTGAACCATTGGATAATCTCTCTACAAACATCAAGTAAGATGTAAACTCTCTGAGGTTATTAGTTGTGTGCAAACTGTTTGACATCCACTATTTTAGCTGATTATGGCTAATCCAGTCCTTCTGTTTATCACAGAAATATAGAATGCCAGAGTATCTCCCTAATTTCTTTTTGGAAGGAATGCCTTGTATTAATTATTATTTCATGTTGTTTACTTCATGCTTCTAAGAAGAATGAATGAGAATGACAGAGTGGAATCAAACATATATTGTCTACTTTTGGAAGAACCTCAAGGAAGCAGGAGGCTGAAAGTCTCTCTCTTCCTGATAGATCAAAGCAATCTTTGTCAAGTAGCTTAACCTCTCTGGATTTAAGATTTCTTTCAGATTTAAGATTAAAGAATTAAGTTTTTATAATATGTTGAGTGTAAAACCTAAAAAAAAAGATATGGTACCCAAGTAAAAAAATTAAAACACACACAATAATATGAATTATATGCAGAGATTTAATAAATGTTAACTATATAAAGGAGCTCTGGTAGCGTAGTGGTTACGAATCGGGCTGCAAACCTTAAGGTCAGCGGTTCGAAACTACCAGCTGCTCCGCGGGAGAAAGATGAGGCTTTCTACTCCCGTAAAGATTTACACCCTCAGAAACCCTATACAGGGTCGCTATGGGTCGGAACCGACTCGATGGCACATAACAACAACAACATATAAAGTCATGCATGGGAATAGTGTATACAAGTCTAGACACTGATATCTTTGAGGAGGGAAGCCAAGGAGGTCTTTAGCTTGCTATACTGAATTGTCTTCGGAACAACTCTGACACAAATAAGGCAATAGGTATAAGAAAGGCAGTCATATTTATTTTGTCTTTTTTTTTTTTCTATGTTGGAAATTCTTCATAATTAGTCAATTAAAAGCAACAGAAAGATGAATTAAAGTGTACACCAAAGTGAAGGAGAAATTGAATGAAAGCAGCAAATTAAGAGATTTATGGCTAGTAGGCATCCTACCATCTGATCCAGCAGAATATAACCATCTTGAGACAAATGAACAGCATTCCTTGATAAAGAACACAAGAAGTCAAATACACAAAATCCCCAACAGGAGATAGAGATATTGTGTAGACAAACCAAGAAAGAAACAGCATGAGCAGAACAAGAACTGGATTTAAGGAAAGAAAGTTCAGGAAGATGGTTGAGAGTTCTAGGGATCTAGGCGACCATAGAGCAGGGAGGGAGTCAGAAAACAAGCAGTAGTCCTGATCATTTATGTGGCTAGTATTGTTGGATTGGAAGATCCTTGGAGTGGCAGATAGGGATCGCCCCTTTTGATTGGACCCTGGACAGCCCCACTCCTAATATTTGATCTGAGCTGGGTACTGATCACATGCTGCATCCATGCCAGAGACAGGAGGAATATGGTCCATTCCTCTCTCCCACTTCCCAGTGGTGAGTCCCCTGTCCCTCCTCAACCTGGTAATCTGCAGCATGTACTCCCAGGCTGTCAGATCTGCAACCCGAGACTTGTGGCCACTTTGATCACCCCAGTGCTACAATGTCTCTGGTGATCAGCTATGTACACTCCTACTACTACCAGATTGGTAACCAGAGGCACAAGACCCCCATCCCTGTCCCACATTGCCTTGCTCACCTGTCAACTGATGATGTGAGTTTTTGTCACCCACTCAGTGACCTGTATTTCCCTGCCCCAGCAGCCAGCAGTGCACACACACACAATGCCCCATCCTGTGACCAATAAGAACACTTCCTGCACTCACATCCAGGTGATTAATTGGACAGAAATGTCACTTTACCAGTAACACAAGTCACATCCTGACAGGTGTCATCTGCACCTTTTCCAAACACTGAACAGGAGATCATAGTATCCTCAGTGAATATTCACCTAATTGCAATGTCACTATCCCAAACCCAAGCAGTTTCTTCAAGCAATCTGCATTTGCACCAAAACTCTTGGATACTCGCCATCTATTGAGATGCTAATTCATGCATTCACAGTAGACCTATCCTTTCCATTTGGGTAATACTCCCATATCAGTGGACAGCACCAACCTAGAATGATCTTCCAACTCATATGGACTGTAGAGGGACCCTGAACCTTCAACACTTGTCACCTAATATCAAGAAAGAACCTGCTCCCAAACCTCCACTCAAATTTGTGAAGGGAACACATAGACAGGTTTAACCACAGAGGACTCACATGTGAGTGTGACACACCATATCACTGTTGTTGTTGTTGTTAAGTGCCTGTGTTCAAGTCAGTTCTGACCCATAGTGACCCTGTATAGGGTTTCTGAGAAGCAGCTGGTGAACTGGAACCAGGAACCTTGTGTTTCAAACTGACTTTGCAGTCCAGCGCATTAGCCCACAATGCCACACCAGGACTCATTAGTGAGAGGAAATTATGCCTAGCCAACAGACACTATCAAAATCACACATCGACCAGAATCACAAAAAACAACAGTGAAAATAATACAAAGAAGCCATACAAAAGCAACAAATAGCAATATGGATTAACAATAACATACAATAGGTAACTCATTGGAAGGATATAACAGTAGAATTGAGTCAAGGTAGAAATAATTTGATAAGAGAACAAATCCCTTGATACTAATCTGTTTGAGTAACAATCAGAAAAAAGAAATGAATAAAAATTCATGTGTAATTGGAAGAGATGGAAAGAAAGCAAAGAGAGAATTTTTGAAACTTTCCTAAATTCATGAACAATGAGAAAGTTTCCATTCAAGAATCTAATGAACCCCAGACAGGATAGATCCCAAAATAAAGCTACCAAGACATGCCATACTTAAACTTTCCAAAACTGAAGTCTACGAAATCTGAAAAAAGCATCTTGTGAAAAATGAAATATCACTAACAAAGGGCACCAGTAACACTAAGTGTTAATATTCAGCAGAAACCATGCAGGCAAGAAGACAGTAGAATGACATATACAGAACCTTAAAAGGAAAAAAAAAAAAATGCAAACCAGTGATCATATATCTAGCAAAATTATCCTTCAAATAAGATGGCAAAACTTGGATACTCCCAAATAAATAGTCAATCTTTATAAGAAATATTAAAGGGAATCCTCAGACACAGAACCAATAACATCAGATAAGAACTTGAGATTAAGACACACGACGGTATCCCTAGATACCAACCCAGAAATAGTATCAAAAGTAAAGTAAAGTTGCAAAACTGAAAACAGGGCCAGAGACATCAATCTGTCAATTATGCCAACTTCAAAATATACAATGGGAATAAATGGTGTAGTTATAGAACTTCCATATGAAGAGGAAATCAAATTGATATAAAGATATATAATACGCTTTTTAAGATTCAGAATGATAATATTTCAGAATAACCACAGAGAAAAAAAATTTTTTTCCACCAAAATAAAGAAGAGAAGAAGAAAATGAAAAGGACTCAATAAACACAAAATCAATAAAAAAAGATCTGAAAAGACAATCCATAAACAAAAATAACTCAACACAGAAAATTAACTATAACCAAAAAAAGTTAACATCACAAAAAAAAGCCTAACAAAATGGCAGCAGTGCACTCATACCTACTGATAGAAAATAGATTAACCAAATTCACCACATAGATAAAATAAAGGAA